TTTAATTTCATTTTTTTGAATAGGACCATTCAAAGATTCTGTATTGACTGCGGTCCACACTTTTCTCTAAAGTTTCTAGATGTGTTTTCATATTAGAGTGAACAGTGTTGTTTTTATTTAACAGTTTTTTAAAGTAAATTAACCAGTCCCCAGGTGAAATAGGTTCATTATCTGAATGTTTTATACTGTCATTGTTTAAATCATTCAGTATTTTCCAAAATTTAGATGTATCACTTTTTGATTTTTCAAGCTCATTCAGTTTTAACTGTTTTAGGGCATGTTTCTTTTTCCTGACTAAATTTTTGAATTGCTTTTTTGTTTTGAAGTATCTACCACGAATAATCGGGTCTAGTGGATGTTTCTGCAGTAATTTTGAAATATTTTTTAATTCTACGCGAAGCAACCAGCAATCATTATCAAACAGTGGTGCGCGTCGTAGCAACGTTGAACGTCGTGTGACGTAGCTCCGCCCCCGAGGATTGTCAATGAATATCTGTTATATTGTAGTGCGCCACTACTCGACGTAAAAAAGAAATTCGGAAGCAGCACACCATTCCAGGTGGTCAAGATGTGTTACTATCGTAATTAACCCGAGTTAGAGGGCCTGGTCATGCGCCAATGAGGTCATGCAAGTCCATTTACCTCCACTGCATGCTTGACCCATTTTTCGACAAATTAGTGATTAAACCGTTAATCAAACGGAACGTTTTAGAATTTCCACATCTTATTGACTACAATTTTCCGATGTGAAGTTTTGAAAAAAAAAACGGCACAGAACTATCTCCTACAGTTATAGTAAAAGTCCCATCGATTCACCTTACACTGACCTCTGGCTAAGCGATTGTGTTGTCACGTGATATGTAGAGACCTGTTATTAGCTTTGACTCATACTAGTAGTAATACTAGTATACTTGTTTGCAACTTCGTGCGTGTACCCTCGTTCCTGGTCATATCTTCCACTTGTTTTGTCGAGGTTGCGTTGGTCGCACCAGGTGAGATCTTCTGTAGAATGTATAGAGGGGCGTGTCCATCACTGAACTTGCATGTCACGTGTCTTACTGGAGAACTTAGGTGTCGGGTCTGTTACTAGTATTTACTGGAAAACTTGGTATTATATAATAGATTATGGTAGATTATGCGGCAACCGTGATTCACGCCACCAAACAGTTTATAATGTGACTTATAACACGGCATGGATGTACTAAGAACACGGTAAACACAATTCTCTCTCTTGTGCAACTTAACTTGCAGCGTATTTCGGGACAGTGTGTGTCTGGTCGCCAGCGTGACCGGAAAACGGGGACGGCTGACAGGGTGCTTATGAATTAGATGTAATATTTGCTCTAGATGACCTCGTGTCGAAAAACCTTTGAACATTTGCCAAGGAAAATTGAGTGATTACTTTTGATGCCACTCTCGGGCGCCACTGTCAGACAATAGCCTCTTGTAACATATAGGGGTATTGCTCCCCACCCGCTGTATAAGAAACAAGTCACCTGGAGATGACACAGCCCCCACTTATCAGATGTGATTATAGTTGGCTATGAATTATAAATTTTGAATGTACATGTATAAAATCGGGTAGGAAGATTTAAGTTGAAAATCAAAAGTATGTTACTCAAAGTTAACAGCTAAGGACATCTCTATTAAATTGGGTAAAATTTGCATCAATTTTAACAAAAATTCACAATCAATTGAATAAGGAAATTCAATTGAGTCAATATTAAATAGCGAATACATGAACTATTAGTTCACAAGATATTAACAAAAATTCAAAATTAATTAAATGGGTGGTCCCTTTGTCTTTGTAACAAGTCTCAACAAAATCGTCAAGCCATCTCCGAGAAATGCAGTGGACACACAAGGACCGAATTTGACTGAATTTTGGCATTGAAATGGCCACCAGTCGGCCATATTTGATCGAATCTGAAAATAAATTGACGTGCACATGTATGGTTGACCAGTATGTCTTTGTACCAAGTTTGTACCAAAAAAATCAGTCCAGCCATCTCTGAGAAATCACTCCTGACGGACAGACGGACTGATGAAGGCGAATCTACAAGCCTGGGGCTAATAAAACTGGTTAGGAAATGCTGTTCACTGTTTTTGCCGGGGTCCTATTTTTAATCTCTTGTTTTTTGCATCAAAAATATTCTGAATCTTGATGCCAAACCACTGATCGATGACTTGGAAACATATATTCCGAAATATATACCAGAAATGTATAGCGTAATTAAAAAATAACTATACCTATATGTAGCTGAATAAAAAAATCACGCATGGCCATAGTATGAGGGCGCTGCACCTCTGTTTCCTTGTTTACAAAAATTTCTAAAAACTGGACTACAACAGATCAAAGTTACTAAGATTCGTACCATATTTTAACTGAATTTAAATTTCATTGAAAAGACCTTTGGGGGTGATTTGTATGGAATTTATTTTCACTGAAGCATCCCTTTAGTAAAAATAGATTCCAAGCAAAAATAAAGTATTTAACAGTATGCTGTTTGCCAATTTGTTTGGCATCAATTGAGGAGTTTATCTTCTGATCTAATTTTAATTTAATTTAATCCGGCAAAGATTGTTAAGATTATGTGTGGTCATTGCAACCTTAGTACGACTGGTGTTGATTTGTTTTCTAAAATTCAAACATTTTGTAAATTTCCAAAGCGACAATACTGTGATTTTAAACATTTTTTGTTCAAATATAACCATGTGGAGTTGACCGATTCTTGTTTAAGATAGGCACAATTGCGTGGGCAAAGTGGCCCTACACAAGACTAATATCACATACAATGAGATATGGAAAGTCAAGTAATCGCAATTTTGTTGAAAGCAGTCATGTTGTGAGAGGAGACTTTTTCACCACCGGACTTTCTTGCCTAATTTTTTTTCAATATTTCTGAAAATGAACCCTAATTTTTTAACCAATTGGCAGACAAAAACAAAATTTAGTTCAATTTTAAGTTTCCACTCAAAAAATGTGACTATTCTTCTGAAGGGGAAAGTGCAGACTATCAACTGGACTATTTTGTGTATTTGTGATGAAAAGAAGGAACTGGTGATGAAAACGTTAATTAGCAATCAAAATACTCATTGTATTGTATCTTATTTTTTTAAGGTTGCAGGAATCAATTTGAACGATGGGGATAAAAGTGACAATTTTCATTGTGGTGGTTGCCATAGTAACTGGCTTGTATTTTTGTGGATTTCTCACCTCTCCACCTACGGTGCCTGAGTATGGTGATGGATGGTGGGGGCGTGGTAAGAAGCCAAAGGGTGAAGAAGACACCAGCATCCGAAAATTTAAAATCAATGTTGACAATTCAGTGATTGACGATTTGAAGCAGAGGCTGGTGAAAACAAGGTGGTTTGAACCTCTTGAAGAAGCCAAGTT